AACATTTACATTTAATTGATTTTTAGTTTTTTAATTAAATTAAATTCACATTTATAATACACACACACACACACACTCATATAAACACACACGTACATATATATACACACATATACACACACAGACCTATACTATTTAACAAAAAGTAAAGTCCTATAAAGAACAAGACAATCAGTAATCAACATAGATTATGTTATAGCATACTATGCTAAAAATGAGTAATTTTAGCCGTATTCTAACATTCCTTTTAGAACTGCACTTTGGGTTAAAGTCTCTGACTGTGTCCACAGACTCTCTTTTCCTTTTCTATCATTTTCTTTCTCTGTGGCATTAGATCCAGAGATGTCTAAAGTACTGGAGTAGAGGAGTGGAGTAGAAGTACAAGTACTATATAAAAAAATAAGTATTGCAAGTAGAAGGATTTCAGGAATTGCTACGCAAGTATTGAAAGTAGAAGTATAAGTAAAAGTACAAGTACTGTGTATATTAAAAAAGGCAGTCAAAGGTTTGATAGATATTGTTTATTTATTTCAAACGTGTGAAAGGCCATACAGGTGTTTACAGAAAACATAAAACAAAACACAAATAAAACTATCTCCAGCTCTGGCTCTGACTCTACGACTGGGGATGATTCATTACGTTTAAATATCAGTAACAAGTAACGACTCAGCCCCTGAAAGTAAAAGTAAAAGAATTAAATTAATCAAAAATATGTAGTGGAGTAAATGTTAAAGTAGGTAAAAATATATATACTCCAATAAAGTACAGATACTGCATTTTGGTACTTAAGTACAGTACTTAAGTAGTTCTACTTCGTTACTGTACATCTCTGCCAATGAGCCAGTTAAACTGTCGTTTTGAGTCCATTTTTTCTTTGTCTGTGATGGATAAAAACAAACATGACTTTCAGATAACAACATTTCTCTGGGATAGTGTTTCACAACAAACATACTTAAATCAGCAGAAGAAGCCTGAAGGTGTCATCTCTCAGTAGGATATTAAATGTGTTTTTTGTCTCATTAAGTCTAATCTAAAGCTGGATTCATTTTGAAACATTTACTATTTTACAGATGTGTACCGATGTGTAACATCTGGTCCGTTTGTTTGTAGCCTAGCCCAGCTAGCGA